GTTCAGCAGTAGCCCTAGCACTTAAGGGAGCAGCTGGTGGCACATTAGTAACATTAACAGATGGCTTTGTTATTAAAGAACATGGGCATTTGAAAGGCGACTCTAGTCATGCAGGTTTATCTATTGATGATACAGCGATAATCAATGGTGAAATTACTGTTGAGAAAGGCGGTAAAATCACTGGCGGGGTTGTTATTGGTGATGCTACTGTTGCTACAAAGGCATTCCCTTTAAGAGTAAAAACAACACCTGTTTCAGGAGATGCAATAGCACTGTTCACCAATAACGGTGTAGTTGACGGTGGGTTTACTATTCAAGGTATAAAAGCAGCAGCACAAAAAGGTGCTGGGGCTTCTGCTGCTAATACCAAAATCACAGGTGCCCATGCCGTAGATATTTTCCATTTAAACAACACCACAGAAGGCAGTATTACAGGTGATATTACCTTCAATAGCTCCGATCTAAAATTCAACCTAACCAACGCAGGTAAGATTACTGGAGATATTGGTGTAAATACTAATAATAATAAGTTAAACACAATAACAAACTCAGGTGAAATTAAAGCAAATGTAATAGCTGCTGCCAACCTTGATAATAGTGGTCATATTTTGGGTAAAACAGGTGGCTCAACTTTAGCAGCTATAACCGCCACAGAAATCACTAATACAGGAACAATTAAAGCTGCTGCTATAGCAGTTACAAATCTCACTAACGAAAAAGACGGAAATATCACAGCTACAAGCATAGCAAAGACTGCAGTAGCAACCAAAGTAAACAACAGCGGTATTATTCATGTAACAGCGGCTGATAAAGCAATTTGGACTACTAACTACAAAGGCGAAAGCGGCAGTGAGTTGCATTTGAATTTTTCTGGCAACCTAGCACCAATAGCTGGCATATTAACTGTAACAGAAGCCACTATTTCCTCCGGCTCTAAAATTGTGCTTTGTAGTGAAGGTCAAACTAAAGCTAGTGTATCGCAAGCAGGCGTTAAGCTAATCAACGCAACAAGTGGCAAAATAACCATAGAAGGCGGTACTATTACCGATATTTTATATACTAAGGCCTTCGGCAATTCTATAATCTATGCAACTGGTTATGACGCATCAACTGATAAATTGATTAAAGCTGATTTAACAGTATTAGAAAATAACGACTATTTACCCTCCGGCCTTATTCCAATTGCTGAAGTCTCTAAAACCGTAGAAAACAGTGGTAAATACGGAAAAGCAGTAACAAAAGCGGCTTCCGCAACTACTACTGTAGGCGGTGTTGCATTAATAGATCATGATAAAACTCACAAGGTTAAAAAAGGTGTATTCGATCATAAAACTGAATTAACCAGTATTACACACCATGCAGCAAAAGAAGCTGATGGCGATGGTCATTTATTTATCGATATGGTAATGCCCGATTGCTCTAGCTGCCATGTTATAGTTGCTAGTATAATGTACGACAAACTATGCTCACATAT